ATCCCCTCCACTACGGTAAACCTGAAACTGCATCGTTTTTCTAGCATCACTAGATCGCGCAGCAGCAGAACCGCACCGATAGATATATGAAGAGAGATACACACACAAAGAGATGTCACGTACACTGGAAAGCAAAACGGTTTCGACAATTTTTTTTCTAGTAACATGGATAATCCGTGTAGTTGTGAATTTGAGGATCTTTGAGTAACCCATAAAACTTGTAAAAGGCGGTTCTGAAGGTTCCAGGAATGCAATTTTCATTTTACTGACCGAAAACGCAGTGGTACGCCAAAAAAAGTTGAAAACGAAAATTTAGAGCAATTTCTAAACGAAAATCCTTGTCAGACGCAATAGAAACTTATTGCAAAACTTGATGTAACTCAACCAGTTATTTCCATACGCTTAAAGAAGATTGGAAGAATTGCAAGGCCGTTGAGTTCCACATGTGCTTACCCCGGAGAACAAAATGAAATGTTACGAGATGGCAATGTATCTGCTGTCACAATTCAAATAAAAGGACTGTATTCATAAAATTGTGACTGATAATGAAAAATGAATATTGTACGTCAAATCCAAACGATGAAAATCGTACGTTCATCCGAATGAGCCATCAACAAGTACTGCAAGACCGAATATTCACACAAAAAAAATGTTATTGAGTACTTTACAGGATTTTAATGGCGTTATTTATTATGAGTTGTCAAAATCCAGTGAAATTATTACTTCTGAACATTATCAACAGCAACTCATTAATTTAAGTAATAAAATCGAGCGAGAAAAATACCATTTACTGGCAGCAGAATCCGGCAAGATGCTTTTGCTACACGACAATGCGCGGCCACACACAGCAAAACGACTGTGGAACTCATTTGTTCTTTGAGCTGGGAAATTCTTCTGTATGCGGTTTCTTCTCCAGACCTTGTTCCTACGAATTATCATCTATTCCGGTCGCTTCAACATCACTTCGTGTGTTCCTGCTTTCAATTTGCCGAGGAAGTCGAAAAAAAGCATCGATGACTTCATTGAGTTAAAATCAGCATCTTTTAACGAAATGGGATTCGCTAGCTGCTTGAAAGATGACAAAATATTGGGTGAGTGCAAAAGTTCGTGCGGAGTTTCAATAGATGGAGTTATAAGCGTAAGTAAAGTGTTGTCATTAATACTTCCATCTACATATTATATAACGTTGGAAAGGTGACGTCTTCAGCTGTTATTAAAAACAAAATCATTTGTTTTCATACAAACTGCTTCGAGAAATATCACTTTAAAAATGAGTATCGATAAGGTGCATTTACGGCATGTTATGCTTTACGAGTTTCGGAAGGGAATAAACGTTGCCGCAGCCGTAAAAAACATTCAGGATGTTTATCAGGATGAAGCACCAGCTAAACGAAAAGTGGAAAAGTGTGGAAAAGTGGTTTGCTAAATTTCGGCGCGGAGAATTTAACCTTGAAGACGAGCCACGCTCTGGTCGACCTTCTGACATTGATGACGATGTTTTGCGTACTTTAGTGCTCAATAATCCGCGAATTTCAACAGAAGAAGTTGCTACAGCACTAAACGTTGACCGATCAACCACTTTTCGGCGTTTAAAAAAGATGGGATTCGATTTGAAGCTCGATATATGGGTGCCCCATTTGCTGACCGAGAAGAACAAAATCAAGCGAATTTCTGCAGCCGTTTCTTTACTCGGGCGGCTCAATAACGAATCGTTTTTGGATCGACTAGTGACGGGCGATGAGAAATGGGTTCTCTATAACAATGTTCAGCGCAAACGGACATGGAAACAATCAGGTGAGCATGGTGACGCAATGCCAAAGGCCAGTTTGCACCCGATGAAGGTGATGCTCTCTGTTTGGTGGGATTGCAAGGGCATAATCTATTTCGAGCTTCTCCCCGCTGGCGAAACGATTGATTCGGACAAGTACTGTCGCCAATTAACCAATCTGAATCGAGAAATAAAAGAGAAACGTCCGATTTTGTCAAATCGCAAGGGAGTCGTCTTTCATCACGACAACGCCAGACCACACATTTCGAAAAAGACGCTGCGCAAACTGAAGAGCCTGAAATGGGATGTCTTAACGCATCCACCGTATTCTCCTGATATCGCACCATCTGACTATCACTTGTTCCGGTCATTGCAAAATTATTTGAATGGAAAAAACTTTAACTCTTTCGAGGCCTTAAAAAACGGCGTCTCTTCGTTCTTCGAATCTAAACCGCGCAGTTTTTATGATCGAGGCATCCGTATGCTGCCAAAACGTTGGGAAAAGATTATAGAAAACGATGGAGAATATATCATTGATTGAATAAAGATTTTTGTTTGCCTAATCATTGTGTGACTTTTACTCACAAACTCCGCACGAACTTTTGCACTCACCCAATATATCGAACTAAAACTTGTTTAATACATATATGACAGCATTTTTATTATAATAAAATGTACTTGTAAATTCTCTCTATACATATATGGTGTAATGTTTTATTTAAGTTTATATAGTATTATAATAAATTATAAACCTTCACTATAGAATATACATATCGAATGTGTATATATTCTATATATTTTGATATTTTTTTATTCAAAGATGTTATTCTTATTATATCATAATTGACGAAATGTCAGTGATATATAATTTGACTTTAAAAAACTATATTGAACTAAAACTTGATTAATACATACATGACAGCATTTTTATTATAATAAAGTGTTCTTGTAAATTCTCTTTATACATATACGGTATAACGTTTTATTTAAGTTTATATAGTATTATAATAAATAAATTATAAACCTTCATTATAGGTAATAGAATATTATAATTAATATTATAATTAATAGAATATTATAATAAAAATGCTGTTATATATGTATTAAACAAGTTTTAGTTCGATATAGTTTTTGGTGCAGCCGCGCCAAGATTTTTATATTAAATATTTTTTATTGCATTGTTATAATAATTAATTTGTTACAATAACAAGTAAAATAACCATACGAGTATAACTCAGTGTCCTAATAAAGAATGATAAATTTTACTTGTAAGCTAGGTTTCCTTGAATATTTTGAATAACATAACCTTTAAAAAGATATTTTTTTTAAATATTGGACACTATTAACAAACGTGTTAAATTTTTATAACACGATATAATTTTTACTTTTAAAAGTTTATGTACATATATTATAATATATATATATATAATATATAACATATATTATAATATATATCTTAAAAAAGAAAATAATTTGAATTTGAGATTTCTAAAAATATTAAGTTAAGTATACAATAATCATATATATATATATATATATGTTAGGTTTCTCAGTTGGCGCTACTGTTCTAATATATCACTTCTTTTGTACAGTAGAATAGTATTGCAGAGTTTTATTATAGTTATAAGTTTTACTTGTAAAAATTTATGTACACATATATATACATTAAAAAAAATAATTTGAGTTTGATATTTCTAAAAATAACACAATACGTGTTGCGCTTTTACATGGCGCCTTTTTTTTACCTTTTTGTTTAAAAAGGTAAGTTTTATATAAGTTTTATTTGTAAATTTATATCTTACAAAAAAAATAATTTGATAAGTTTTACTTATAAAAACTTATGTTATGTATAATAATAACCTTTGAAAATATATATTTTTTTAATATTTTATATATGCGTCACGTACATACATCATTAATATATAAATGTTATTAATTTATACTTACTTGTTAATTAATCAGCTAAAGCACGTAATACCTGCACTTATAAATTGTATGAAGCGGTTCTTATAATTGAAGGGCGATCACTCTGGACGACGAGTCAATAAACACCGGTATTGATTTTTCGATGGCATAGCTCATCACATCGTCTGCTCAGCATCAGCTGATCGGCAATCAAATGACGTGCGTCATAACATACCAACGCATATCAACATTCTCACCTTTTTATGCCTTTCTCTTTCACCCCTCTCGCTCGTTCTCTTTCTCGCCTGTTCCCACCCTCCCTCTCTCTCTCCCTCTCTCTTTCTCTCTCTCTCTCTCTCTCTCTCTCTCTCTCTCTCTCTCTCTCGCTCTCGCTCTCGCTCTCTCTCCCGTTCTTTCTCCCGTTCTCTCTCCCGTTCTCTCTCCCGTTCTCTCTCCCGTTCTTTCTCCCGTTCTCTCCTCCATTCTCTCCCTCGTTCTCTCCCCCGTTCTCTCCCCCGTTCTCTCCCGCGTTCTCTCTTCCGTTCTCTCTCCCGTTCTCTCTCCCATTCTCTCTCCTGTTCTCTTTCCCGTTCTCTCTCCCGTTCTCTCTCCCGTTCTCTTTCCTGTTCTCTTCCCCGTTCTCTCTCCCGTTTTCTCCCCCCCCCCTCTCTCTCTCTCTCTTTCTCTCTCTCTGTCTCTCTTTCTCTCTCTCTCTCTCTCTCTCTCTCTCTCTCTCTCTCTCTCTCTCATTCTCGCTCTCTTTTTCTCTGTCACACATTTTCACCTCCTGTATTCTAGCAAAAAATATTCTTCTCTCTCTTACTCTCTATCGCTTGCTCACTCGCACTCGTAGCTCTTTGCTTCTTCAGCGAGCTCGTAACGCTTCTGGTGTCGGAAAAACGAGATGCACAAATCCCCTCTCCTCGGCGGTCTAGCGTTTCTTTCTTACTTTCTTACTGAATCAAAATTTTCCGTAATTTGGTCTTTGTCTTAAAATATATATGCTTGGAGACAACGTACACAAAAAACACTAGGACACTTTTCTTTCTATTTTTTAAGGCTGAATCGATTGGGACTAAAAAACGTCGATCGGTTCAGTCATTGCTGAGATATGAATATCTCACCTCGTTTCAACTCGCAGTTTCGCGTATAATAGGCACGGCGTGCCTCTTGATAATGTGGCATATATAATAACAAATAATGTGACATATACCAATAACAAATAATATTTTTTCCAGATGTCATTACTTCAGCTCGAGCGAGAAGCTTGAGAGCCACACAGTCGACTGTCAAAAAATGAATAACTGCGCCATCGTCTTGCCAAACGATGATAACAAATGGCTCAACTTCACCAACTACTGCAGGAAGGAGCGAGTCCCGTTTTGTAGTTTACGCCGACTTGGAATGCATCCTGAAGAAGACACCGAAGGAAGAACAAACGAGTTCGTATGCGTATCAACATCATAGCGTATTTAGTATAGCGTATTACGTGCGATGTTCCTACGACGAGTCGTTATCCGCGTATCGATGTCGTCGTGATCCGGATTGCATCTCGTGGTTTGTCAAAGAACTTGAAGAACTGGCACATCGTGTAAAGGATATTTTGTCTGCAAATGTCTCCATGGAAACTTTGTCGAAAGAACAGTGGGAGACATTTCGGAACGCTACGCTGTGCCATGTGTGCGAGAAATCATTCGCAAAGGATGATACACGTGTGCCCAATCATTGCCACCTGACTGGGCAGTACAGAAGTCCCGCGCATTCCAATTGCAATCTAAATTACCGAGACAGTTATTGCATTCCTGTGGTCTTTCACAACTTATCCGGTTATAATTCGCACTTCATCATCAAAGATATAGCAACCGCTTTCGTAGGTTCAATCACTGTACTACCGATAACCAAAGAGAAATATATTTCGTTTACAAAGATTGTAGGAAACATGATAGATAGTAGGAATAAATGGAAAAATTATATACAATTGCGATTCATCGATTCGTACAAATTTCTCAGTCTAGTCTCGATAAATTGGCGTCTTTTCTCAACAATGATAAATTAAAAATTGTTCGGTCCGAATTTTCAAATTTGTCCGACAAGGATTTTGATTTATTGACGCGAAAGGGTGTCTTTTCGTACGAATACCTTGATTGTGCGGACAAGCTGCAGGATCGGTGTTTACCGCCGCGCGAGTCATTTTACAGTTCGTTGACGGGTGACACGGTATCCGAGAGCGATTACGCGCACGCCGCGAACGTCTGGCAGCGGTTCTCCATTCAAACCTTGGGTGAATATAGCGACTTGTATCTGAAGACTGATGTCTTGTTACTGGCCGATATTTTTGAAAATTTCCGCAATAGTTGTATCAAAAGTTACGGGTTAGATCCCGCGTATTATTACACTTTGCCTGGTTTTACGTGGGATGCTATGTTGAAGCATACGGGCATTAATTTCGAATTGCTCACTGATATCGACATGGTCATGTTCATCGAGCGCGGTATTCGCAGCGGTCTTAGTCAATGTTCCAGTAGATACACAAAGGCCAATAACAAATATATGCAGTCTTACGATCCATTGCAGCCATCATCATACTTGATGTACTTCGATGTAAATAACTTGTACGGTTGGGCAATGTACTTTTTGGGGTCAACAACTACCATACGCCGAATTTCGATGGGTTAATGATGTATCGAATTTCGACGTATCATCAATCGCGCTAGATTCACCCATAGGTTACATTCTGGAGGTCCACTTGGAGTATCCGCAACGTCTGCACGACGCGCACACTGACCTACCGTTCTGTCCGACGCAGGACAAACCGCCGAACAAAAGGCAGGATAAGCTTCTCGTAACCTTATACAATAAACAGCGTTATGTGATTCATTATCGCAGCCTGCAGCAGTGCACGCGCCACGGTCTTCGTATTGGAAAGATACACCGCATACTCAAATTTGCGCAATCCCCATGGCTCCGCGATTATATCGAACTTAGCACGCAGTTTAGAACACACGCGACAAACGATTTCGAGAAAAATTTGTACAAATTGATGAACAACGCGGTATTCGGTAAAACCATGGAAAACGTTCGCAATCACGTAGACGTAAAATTGTTGACAAAATGGAACGGACGATACGGTGCTGAGGCAATGATCGCGAGACCAAATTTTCATAACAGAAGTGTCTTTTCGGAAAATTTAATCGCCGTTGAGCTACGTAAACTCGAGGTGAAATTCAACAAGCCGATCTATGTGGGTATGTGTATCCTTGACATATCCAAGACCTGCTTGTACGAATTTCATCACGAGTACATGTCTCCCCTGTATCAGAACAGATGTAAAGTAATGTACACCGATACTGACAGTTTAATCTACCATATCCAATGCGATGATATTTTCGAGCACATGAAACGCGATATTTCTAAATTTGATACGAGTGATTATTCCGCTGATAACGTGTACGGTATACCGCTTGCCAACAAGAAGGACCGGGTCTGATGAAAAATGAAAATAACGGAGCGATTATGACGGAATTCGTCGGACTTAGAGCAAAGATATATGCGCTAAAAGGAGACAGCAAAAAGGACACGAAGAAGGCGAAAGGTGTCAAGACCAACGTCGTAACGCGAACTATAACGTTTGATGATTATATGCAGTGTCTGAGAGACGAAGTCGAAAAGCTTAGACATCGTCAGTAATGCTTACGATCCAAAATGCATAAAGTCTACACCGTGTCCGAACTGAAAACTGCTTTGAGTCCGTATGATGACATGCGGTATATCGTACCAGACTCAACAGACACTTTACCATGGGGACATTACAGGATAACGTTGTAAAATAAAAAAGTGATCATTGTACATACATGTATATTGTAAATGAAAAGCGATCATTGTACATATATATTTGTTTATTTGTAAGAAATATTGTTAACTATAATAAAAAGATGGGTTATTACAAGCTGTTTATAATAGGATATTGTAATAAAAAAATGTTTATAATAAAGAATTGGTTACAATACATTTTCTTTATGTATCCAAGAGTTGTGCGAGTCGTCAAATCCCAACCATTTCATTAAAACCTTGTCGCCGCTTTTTCGCAACATCTTCCACGAGATAAACGTCAGTATTAGCAGCGCGATGCAGTTCGTATTCGTAAAATCCTCCAGTAATAGACTTTCCGCGAGAATCTTCAAGCAGATAGGTTGCTGGTCGTCTGTACTTTGATGATCTTAAACACTTCGGTGGTCCAATTCGGCGTGTAACCTTTCTCGAAGATAGTTTTGAATTTGCTCACACGTACCGAGTCACCCACTTCAAATCTCGCAAGCTCTGCGATCTTTACGTTGTTGTATACTGTATGTAGGAGCTTATCGGCGATCTTAGGTGTAACATCGACAGGGCACATACCGATAGTTCGATGCTTTCGCGTGTTGTACTTGGCAACAAGACATGGTAGCGAGTCGATCCATTTGTATGTTCCATTCAACGTAAATAGTTTCCACATATCGTTCTTTAACGTGCGATTGAATCGTTCCACAACAGACACCTTCATTACCGAGTACGTAGAATAATGATTGATACCGTGTTTTTTAAAGAGTTTCTGCAGATCCGCATTATAAAATTCTTTTCCCTGGTCGGTTTGCAAATTTTTCGGACATCTTCCAGAGTCTTAAAATATCCTGGTGAATCTCGACTACTTCTTTACCGCTCTTGCTCTTCATCGGTACAGCCCACGCATATTTGCTCAGCATATCGATATGAGTGAGTATATAGTGGTAGCCTCCATTGAATCGCGAGTAAGGACGCATCTCTACCAGGTCAACCTGCCAAAGATCATTATATCCACGCATCACGACGTGTCTACGAGGAAAATGTCTTCTCGCTGGAGCGTGCAACTCCTCCACCAACCGCTGCTTTTCGTTACCTATGAGCTGCTTCTCTGAACTTTTCTTCTTTTTGTTAAATTTTGATGATTGCTTCGCCATTGCAGCTTGTGATGATTCTTCTCATGCTTATGTCAATACTATATGTCAATTTAACTGTAATATTCTACTTTTATATTTTCCTTGATTGCTTTATCTCTGAACTTGTCCAGTCTAAAATTCGTTCTATGTTCTCATGAATGCTATTTATACTCTGTGGGTTTTTCTTCCGATAGTCTTCCAGCCAATCCATTAATTTTTTAACATTCTCATCTACATACTGCTTCTTCTCAACGTTACTCTGATGCAGCAGAAGCTTTACAGACTTTATACTCTCATCCATATAATTTTTGTGTGCAGCGTCATTGAAGGCTTCCGGCCGCGGTACATTATGTACCGCGTACAGTTTTGCATCAAAACATTTACCATCTAAACCTTTACTATTGGCGGTTAGACAAAGGGCATTTTCATGTACGTAATTTTTAACGTGTTCATTCCATTCATGCGTTTCGATCGGAGAACCATTGCTCTCTGACAGCACTCCAACTTATGCATCGGCATTTCGGAGCAAGCTGTACCGACTGACTGACTCATGTCAGTGCCACACTGTTTAATTTATAATAAGACCAGCTTCGCTGAGTTCTTCGATAATCGATAAAATTTCGTTGTCATGAGCGTTGTTGCCAGCTTGGCGCGAAGCTTCAAGCAATCGCAATCCACCAGCTCGTTGGGATCATCCCAATGCACGTAATCGATATTGCTGTCATTTAAGGTAATCATAGCTTGCGATGCGTATAAATCTTTTCCTGCCACTTTATCGCTCGACGCATGTGATACTAGGGGCGCGATTATATGTTTATATTTGTGTCCCTTGTTACCGAGTATAGGATTTTGCGGGAGGTACCCGCGTCTGTGAGTATTCGTCGTCAATAGTATACTTTTGTATTTTTGCATATAAGCTTCGGTGTACACAGAATCGTCGGGGATTCTTTTGAATATTAGCTCGTAGAGACCGGGTGTTTCAATGTATCCTGTTTCGTCTATGATTATATTATCGTCTCTGTCCACATCAATACGTTTATCACCAAGCATCGCTCCATCGTTACTAAGACGTACGCCGTAAATATAATCTATGGTGTTATCTTTTCTACTACTTAGCACAGCTCCCATATATTTTTGACCCAACGGACCAAAATGATTATGTAAAGTTTGTTGTACGTTCGCAACTTTGTACGTTCGCAACTGACGTCTAACGGATGATACTACCGGTTCATGGGGAGTTTCGGAAACATTCTCATCATCATCATCAATGGATATATTGTAAATCGGTGAAGGTTCATGTGATATTCCATATAGTTGCTCATATTGTAGAGTTCCCGTTGATATAGGAACTATCGGAAGATCTTTTAATAGTTTCCGTTTCGGCGGAGTCAATGTGACTGGTGAAAGTCTTACCTTACCTTTATCTTTTTTTCGGGTTTTAATATCACACTCTTTGTTTCGACGTTTATACTCAGCAATGGTGTCTCAGTTTTAACATCAACGTTACTTTCCACATTAGCGCTGCTTCCCGATTTGCTTGAGAGGTTCAATAATAGGTTTAAAGTGTCTCTCCAATGCGGCATTTTCCACTATTCTATCGGCTTTCAAAGCGCGATACTTCTTGCGGATCGATTCGCTCGTTTTCGCAATCTCTTTCGCAACCTTTTCACAATCCTCGATCTTCACGCTACTATTCATCATTTATATGGTTGTCTCGTGGACATTGAAGATGTTACCATGTTGAAGTTGCAACGACGATTGAACATCTCACAGCATTGCAAAGTCATTAAATCCTTTTCTGTATCGTCCGTTGGTCATTGAGCTGTCCTTATCAATCACTACGAAACCATATTTATGCTGCCAACATTTGCGGCACAATGCACTGAAATCCTCGTATGACATGTCAGTGTTCACATGATCGTTATACACATGTTTCAAGTTGGTACTATCCTGTTTAAAGAGAATCAGAAGATTTACATTGTCCCGTATGAGATGCTTGGGTATTTTTGCGTACGTCTGACAGAAATAAAAACGGTCAACGTTCGAATGACGACCCATGGCAAAGTATTCTCTTATCGTATCTTGCTTGTCACATGCTACGTCATCAAAGATAAAAATGAAATTTTTAAGCGCTTCGGTCGTTGGAATCATGTCGCTGTTATTGGAGAATGTAAAGTATCCAATTTTGTTTATCGTGTCAGTAAATTTTCCAAGTATTGATATTTAGGTTGTTGCAACGATTTCGAGTACACGTACAAATTCTCGAAGCGTAGGCCGTGCGGACTTTCCAACAAACTGATGAGAACGTTCGTCTTGCCACAATTCGAGGGGCCGCATATGATGCCGCGTATGGTGCTCGGAAGCATGTTTCTATGCCTGCGCGCCTCTTGCTCAAGCATTGATTGCGTTCTATTATCGAAATTTGTCACACGTATCGACGTCGGTTGCTTCACGAACCGCATGTTTCCTCCGCGAGTCACAAAATTGATTTTATTAACGGATCATTGCGATTGAACTATATATAGACGCGTCGATCTTGGAAACGCTCAGTTTAGAAAATGTTGCTCCTTCTGACAGATACTCGTGATATTCGAGAGCTAACCTCCGAACAGTTGAAATATATACCGAAGATTGTTTTATTACGCGAATTTGCAAAGTATATTGACGATTTGTGGGACAGACTCCCTGAACATATAAGAATCGATCCAGAGGTTCAGCAGCATCGTCGGTGTTTGGAACATTACAATCGTCCGTGGCAGCGAACGCATATTGACAGTCCGGCACCGCTGATCAGGGACTGTAATGAATGCAATCGACAAAAGTCACAGTCGTCAACGGTCTGTTGAATTGCGCGATAAATGCGCTTCCTATCGAATTACACATTCCTGGATATCAATTTTGTAGCCCTGGAACTCGCTTGATATTCGCGTAGCAACAATCTCGCTAGTCGGCACACGGCGGATAAGATTCTCGCTGTAAAAGCGTGGAAATATCATACATAACTTCGAAAGATTCAATTCTAGGCGAGAGAGCTGCTGCTGCAGTCGTTTGGACTGCCATGAAAGTCAAAACGAAAATCGGCATTGGCATAAAGAAAAAGAAGTCGCCCAAGAAAGCAATCCGAAAACGAGCACTTCCAATAGCAAAACGGGGTAGTATCTTACCAGTTCTACCATTTTCACCAGTTCCACCATTTCTACCAGTTCTACTAGTTCTACTGGGAGTTCTCGGTTCACTAGTCGGTGGAGTGGCGGGTGTTGCAAAAGCGGTGAATGATAGCAAAGTCGCGCAACGCCAACTGGAAGAATTAAAACGTCATCATCGCGCTATGGAAGGTCGCGCTATGAAAGGTCGCGGAATATATCTTGCTCCGTACAAGCGTGGGCGAGGCGCAGCAGGAAAAAAAAACGTCAAAGAGAGGCTAAAATTACCCATGGGTGCAATGACTAACATACAGTTGGAAAAACTAGCGAGGCGTATGCGTATATCTTTCTTTCGAGGTGTTTTCATGCATGACGCCTTACCGATAGATGGA